CCATCTCCCTTCGATGATGCAGGTAGCACTGAAGAACACTTCAGAATGGACTCTGGGTGCTGAGACCAGGGAAAAGAAGAAACTAGCCCTACTTATGCAAGACACTCCTATAAATCCATCACCCTAAATCAGCCTATGGAAGCCAGTGGAGAACTTCCCAGCAGATCCTCTCCACCCTAATGAAGGTCTGAGGAGGATATCAAAGAATTTGTTGGTAATGGGCTTGCGTCCCAGGGGACTGGTGCAAGGGTGGGGTCTCTTTCCCAACACCTGAGAAAAAGCGTAAAGATCTGCCTGAATGGAGACACTAGCCTGAACTGATTTGTTGCTCTGAAGAGGGATTGTTTTGATATGAGTCGATTCAAAGACATAGGTACAACCTCTAAAAGCAAAAGCTCCCCCCACCGAACAACAATCGAATCAAACAGACTCATTCAGTAAATCAACTTAATGATGCCCCATCCTCAATCCTGCTCCTGCAGAAATCAATTTATCCCTAACCTCAAGAGAAAAATCAATCAAATCCTCCCTCCCTCAATATCTATATGCAGACTCCTCTGCATAGCTGTCTGCTTTTCCTGGAGCAAAGTCAACCATGAGCTTTTTACTCTTTACCCACTGTGCAAACATTTTTGGGAACCTTGTCAGCCCAGGCCTGAGTGGATATGTCCACACTGCTTTTGGGAGCCTCCCAGCCTTGGTCCATAGTAGGACTAGTAAGGGCACATTAGCATCCTAAAAATAAGTGTGTAGGCATTGCTTTGATGTTTTGCCTTGAGCTGGAACAGCTATTTTTAGCATGCTAGCATAGCTCCAGAATGTACAAGTCTTTAGAACCAGGTCTGGAGGCTCACACCATGATGCATAGTAGACATCATGGACAAGGATAGGAAGTGCAGAGGTATTCTTCAATACCTTCCCCTCTATGCCAAAAAATCCTGCTTTGTCAGGTTCTTCATTACCTCCCACCAGCTCAGTGACGTGCTACTGAGAGCACCTACTTTGCCTATAGCCCAGGCAGCTTCTTTCACTTGACAGTGCTGATGCTCACCCTGCATTCTGTGTGACTTCTCACCAGTAGCGATGTAACCCACACACCTAGGCTACATCTACACTGGCAGGTTCTTGCACAAGAACAGCTGTTCTTGTGCAAGAACCCGTAGAGTGTCCACACTGCCCACCTGCTCTTGCGCAAGAAGATTTACAGAATGGCATCGGAAGACAAGGCTTATTGCGACAGAGCTATGCTCTGTTCTAACAAGTATAAGCCCTCTAACAAGTGTAAGAGCTTTTGTGCAAGAGGGCAGTGTGGATGCATGTCAGGGCTTCTTGCACAAGAAAGCCCTATGTCTAAAATGGCCATCAGAGCTTTCTTGCACAAGAGAGTATCCACACTGCACATGGCAGTGTGGATGTGTTCTTGCGCAAGAGTTCTTGCACAAGAACCCTTGCACAAGATGTTCTTGTGCAAGAACTTGCCAGTGTAGACATAACCCCGGTGTGGTTCACTGACCAATGCAGTGGCACCTAGACCACAGCAACAGATAAGACCAAGGCCGTGTCCAGACTCAGGGGTTTTTTTCGGGAAAAGTAGCCTTTTCCCGAAAAAACTTCCCCTGCGTCCAGACTCAAGCCGCGTTCTTTCGAAATTATTTCGAAAGAACGCGGCTTTTCTTTCGATGGCGGTAAACCTCGTTTCACGAGGAAGAACGCCTTCCTTCGAAAGTTCCTCTTTCGAAGGAAGGCGTTCTTCAATGTAAAGAGGCCGTCTTCGAAAGAGAGCATCCAGACTCGCTGGGTGCTCTCTTTCGAAAAAGCGGATTTCCTCTATCGCAAGATCCGCCTGCAGTCTAGACGCGATCTTTCGAAAGATGCTTTCGAAAGAGCATCTTTTGAAAGAAGCCTGCAGTCTAGACATAGCCCAAGAGACCTCATCAGGAGGGGCTGACAGCCAGCTGGTGTTTAGCTCAGAGGGTAGCGGCTCCTATACTCAGCTCCCGAGGTCCCAGGTTCAGATCTGCCCAGTGGTGGTTACACTGACATCATCCTATCTTCCAGGCATAAGGGGCAGTTACGAAGGCCTGCAAAAATAGATACATCTTGCAGCTCTTTCTGAAAGCATACAAGTTATTCAACTGGATACTAATTCTAAGGCCACTGTTAAAAAATCCACTACATTCCTAACATGTAGCAGAGCCAGCCACCTCCCATGTGCCCCCTTGTGGCCTAGAGTCTCACTACAGGGAGTGTGCCTCAGTTTCCCCCACTTGGACCATTCAATAAACTCAAAAAACACCTTTGCCCACTCATGTCCTTTCTTAAGTTCTGCATTTTTTAATTAAAGAACACTCAAAATAAAGTTTTCAAGTCCATCCAAAAGTCCACACAAACCAAAAGGTTTCTCCTCCTCTGGGCATTTCTGTCTAGGGCCTTTTTTACTTTGGCAGGCCTCTCCCAGGCCCTATCTAATAGGAGTCTCAGTCCTGGCTCTTTTCTAGCATCTGCTCACCGTAGCAGCTTGGAGCCAGGTGAGAAGCTCCTCCCTATGGCTGATGCAGCTTCAACGGCACAGCTTGGAAAGGAGTGCAGGTCCCTCGGCTGGTGCAGGTCCAGGTTCGTCTGCCCCCTGCACTTCCCTGCTGGAGTGAGGAACAGCCAGCAATGTTCCCAAATAAATCAGGGAGGGGAAAGGTTTTTAGCCTTCCTTCCTCCTTAATTGGCATCTGGGGAATGGAGGCTCAGGATTGGGGCAGTCCCAGATGGGTGAGCCCATGCCCCCAGCTAGCCCCTTTCACCTGCCTAATGATTCTCTTTTCTGTATTCTTTTATGAGAAGCAATCCAGTTCCAGGCACATCCCATTTTATTGGCACAACCAAACCCTGACCTTGCTTTAAGTTATGGTAAGAGGAAGCTTCATACCAAATTTGGTGGTCCTAGCTCTTCCCATTTAGGAGAAGTTCTTGAACAAACAGATAGACTTACACACACACTCCCTCTCAAATGTATTTGATAATAATTAATAATCTCCTTTCACTGCAGCCTCTTACTGCCCTTTTTAGGGCATGCACAACAATCTCTTCCAGGTATGCTTTATTCAGTAATCAGTGTTGGCTAGTCCCAGTCCTTAAGTAGGATGCTACCCTGCTACAAGCATCATTAAATGACTTCACATCAACTAGCCTGAAAACACTGCAGAGAGCATGTGCAGATTGGGAGATACTAGTATTCCATATACCTCTCTAAATAGAAAATCATCCTCTAACTTCTCCCTTCACAAATCATTATTAGAGTGTATTAAGAAGACTGGCTCCAAATGCTCTTTTCAATCTATTGTTCTCGTTTTAATTCATTTCCCATTTATGTCCTATTCCCTTGTGGACTCAGAATCTGCCCCCAAGAAAAGAGGGTGAACTTCAAAATAACACAGCTCACTGGAAATGCTGTTGGTGCAGCAAAGAATGTGTTGTCATGGCTTCTAAAAGAAAGAAAGGCAAAGCCTAATTGTTAAGGATTGCCCAACAATAGAGGAAACTCAATGAAGGGGCAATTGTTAGGATACAAAACTTTTCATCTCCATGTCAAAACTTGACCCAGGTGGACAGTGACGAAACAATACTGGACTTGAGTGCACCAAAGTAGTTAGGCACCTACGTCCCTGTTTTAGGGGCCTAAGCAGAGGTAACTGGTGAAGGGGGAAAGAGAGGCCACTGGTCAGGTGACTCTTGCAGCCCAGGGAAGAGCCAGGACAACCCCCTCTGCCCTAGGCCCTGTCTCTCCTTGCCCCTGCTCTGTTCCTCCCTGCCCATGCTCCACCATCTCCCTACCTCTGCTCCGTCCCTGCCCCACCTATTCCCCCTCCCCTGAGCGATGTTGGGGGCTGGCACTTGCAGTGGGGATCCATCTCTCCTCCACCACTCACCAACAGTCATGAGGCAAGCAGAGCAGCTCACTATGCTCCCTGGCCAGGTTACACCACTTCCCACAGGTAAGTGTGAAGCGACATGGCCAGAAGAGCACTGCTGTTGTTGAACTGAGGGGGCAGACACCTGCTACAGGCACCAGACCTCCCCCTGCTAATTCCTTTGCCAGCTGCTGGCCAGCCCTTTACCCCTCACTCATGGCATTTGGGGCACATGACCCATCCCCCCCCCAATTGCCTATATGCCTAGGCCCCAGGTTTGGGACAGCGGTGATATACCAGGTGCCTGAAGAACCTTGTAGGCACCTAAACTCACTCAGTGCCTACATGTTTGCAGCTAAAGTTCCCTAGATGGCCATGGGCATGAGCACAGGACCTCACTCTAGGTACCCAGACACCTAAGCTCCAGGGGGATTCAGAAACCAGGTGTTCAGAAGTACTACAAGCATGCAGTAGCAGATGCTGGTAGCCCTTCTGTAATAGCACAGACCCCACAACTTCGGCTTGCAACTCATGCTAGAATCATTTAATGTGGGGATTGAATATGGAGGAAGAAGACACTGAGATACCAAACTGAGGAGGATGGTAATAAAATAGAATAGAATAGTGGCTCTCAACTGGGGGTCTGTGGCCTCCTTGGGGCCTGTGAGTTCTTTCAGGGGGGCTGCACAGCCCCACCAATGAAACCCAGTACCCTAAACCCCAGCACTCCCCTCAGGGCTGAAGCAGAGAGTGCCATGGGGCTGAAAACTTGAGCTCCTCTGCAGCCAGGAGCAGTGTGGAGCTGAAACCCCAACAAAAGAAGAAAGTTTAAGCCCATAGGCAGAGTTATGGGGGCATGAGAGAGTTGCCCCCTGAAACTACAGAGCCTTACTCAGAGTGGGGCAGTCCCAGGAGTAGAGCCACTCCTACACTTCCTCCTCTCCCTCAGCCCCCTTCACGTGCCACCCTATGGGCAGGTCCTAAGCGGGAAGCTAGAGCCAGGCAGTGTGGGGCAGCTGGTCCTCTGGCTGGTGGTGCCATGCAGTAGGCAGCCATGACATTCAACCATCTGCTGCTAGTGATATGGTTGGGATGTGGTTTCTCCTCAGCTCCCAGTTCCCTTGGATTACTTACTTAGCTGGTCAGAGCTATCGGGTGGCTTTGGGCCCAACAGAGCCCCCAAAGCATAATCACTGACATACAGCTTCCGGTACATGGTTGGCTGATGAGGTGAGTCAGAGGATGCAGGCAGCACTCCCTTACTGAACCCCACTGCACAGAGCTGGCCAGAGCCCCACCAGCCCTCATTCCTCGTCCCCAATAGAAGTCAAATTTTGCCTATATTCTAGGGTTTCCATACTTAGCCTGTTGCCCTAAGCCCCTCCCAGCTGATTAACAGAGTGCCCACAGCAACACAGCCAGGATGTGTTTGTACTGGTGGAGCACTTCCACATATGCCTTGGTGTACATACCAAAATTTATTCTGCACACAGATGGGAAAAAATTAGAGGGAATATTGTTGAGAAACCCTGGAATAGATTACCAATGGAAAGGATAGATAAAGGAAATGAAGGTAAGGAGATGAGAGGAGAAAATATTAGGTACGAAGGAAAATAGTAGGGAGAAAAAAATAAGAATGGAAATTAAAGAGGGAAAGAAAAGATCAGGAGCAAAATATGAAGTGAAAAGAGGAGATGGATCACAGCAGAGACAGCACCTCATCTCATGAACAGCCAAGAAGCAATCTCATCACAAGGACAGTTGTGAAATACTAGAAAGTGATAAGCAGTTAGTGAGAGGTAGGATTATGCAAACAGGAGAAATTAAAATTTGGTCCCTTACTTTTAAAATTGGACCCATACTTTATGTCATTGGTAGGATACCTTTCCAGCTAACTCATTTCTGAAACTGCTCCAGCCCCACTGTGCAACTCAAAATATTAAGAGGTGTATTTTCAATATGGTGAATAGGCATATAACTGAGTGCTAGCTGTTAAGAAAGAGAGTCACTCAGCTAAATCCTGGAATTCCACTCTAGTGAAAATATCTCTCCTGGTATATGGAATAAAATCATAAAGGCCAGAGAATACAGATTTAAGGGACTCTTCAACAGTCACTGGAATCTCACAGTAGTGAATATTCTCACCTACTATTATGCTGCAATGCTTAGCCACAATGGGCTGAAGGGCAATCTTGGCTCTGAATTTACGGCTTTTACAAAGTTACATCATCTCTCTTATTCCACTTGGGATCCCTCCAGAATTAGATACAGAATTGTACAGGGAGTTAAGAGTGTCCCCAGGGCATTCAGCATCTTCTCCAAAGAGGCAACAGAGCATAAAAATTCTGTTGTGCTCCAAGTAGGATGCTGATAAGCTAGACGTACTCCATCGTTTTGTGATGAGAAATTTAAATAGACATTCCGCTTCCATCATGCAGAACCTTGCAAAGACCATGGTGTGATAGGCAGCCACAAATTAGTTAACAGTGTGAGGGCTTTAGTGCTCCTTTTCAAAGCAGGGTTTGTTTGTTTTTTATTTTTGGAGTGTTTAAGGATCCTGATCAAAATGAACCCTTGTACTCTGATGACATAGGCACAGGTGGAAGGTATTTCTGGGAAGAAGGAAACAATAAAAACAGTGAAAGGAGAAAGGAGTGAGTTAAGATGGAAGAAGAATTAGAGATTAAAGTTTAGAAGATCATAAAGAAATAGACCATTCAAAGTCTGTTGCTCCATTAAATAAAATAAATGCACAGAAAATCTCTAAGCAGGTGCAATTAATCAGTGACGAGCTTATCCGCTGACAAGTAGTTCAAGAGCAGATCCCAGAACACCATATTCAAATTTAACATTTCTCCTGAGGGTTGGGGGTAGGGGAATTGTGTTAAAATTTCACAAAGCTCCAATACGCCCAGCTTGAATGGTGGGGAAGGGAAGAGGAGGTACTTTCTTCATTGGGAAATATCATTTTAAGAGGATGAAGGAGACTTTTAATGGCTGCCAATGGGAGATGCAGGGGTGGCACTTGTGCACATGGGCTACACATGGTACTGCCTGCACTTCCCCAAGAGGCCACGGGGACATGCCAGCTGCTGCCAGGAGTAGCATAAGGCCAGGGAGGCAGGGATCCTGCCTTAACCCTGCTGCACCCCCAGACTTTCAGAGCCTAATATCTCCCAGTTTGGCTTCAGTAGCACGATACTGGGAGACTCCTGGCAGAATTGGGAAGGTTGGCAACCCAAACCTCTTGTTAATAACAGTTGTAGGCTTCCACAACACTTAGTCAACGCCTCTCAAACCCAACCTTCCCACTGCTCTCTTGCTGCTCTGAGCCTTGACTGGCGACACTCCTTATAACTCCTGGCCTGGGCCTTTGCTGAATCGTGACTAAGACTTGCCCTGCACTGTGGGAAATGGCATGGTTATCTTATGAAATATATGCACTGGCAGCCAGAGAAAACTACCAAACACTACATTTATGGCTCAAGACTGGGTATAAATCTTTAGAGATAATTCAGCAAATGATGCTGCCCCTGTGATTACTTTATCTGCCAAATGTTTTCAGGATAAACCAGAAGAGATTACGCTCTGTTTGAGCAAGATACTAAAAAACATGAAATTACATAGTGCTTTTGTGGGTGCAGTTGCATTCATGATGTTGTGCCTGAAAATCATAATGTAATGCAATGTGAAATAATAAACATTAATTCTGTTAGAATGCCATAAAAATGTGGAAAATGACTGACATTCAGCAGCTCTTTTACACTTTCTAAATAGAGACACAGACAGTCCATTTCCCTATTGTTTAATAATGGCTTACGTAGAACTAAAACACACACAGTCAGATTCTTATGAACATTAAGATATTTCTACTTTTTATAAATCTGGCACTGGTAATTTATTCCCACTTCAAGGCCCCTTTTCACTGTCAGAGCTGTATAAAGGAGCCCTTGTGTATCTGAGAATGAGTCTCCAAACAATTAATTTAACTAGTAAATATTACAATTCTTTTTCAGGCAGCACTGTCTAGAAGCCAGTCTTCTGTGTTAGTTGAAAATATTCTTGTTACCCCCACAAGCTACCTATGAACTTAATTCCTAGCCTAGCTTTTTTTATTCCATCCCTGAGACTCCATGTGACTTCTTCTTTATGTGCTTCACCCCTGACCAGTATCACACCCGTGTGTTCCATTCCATTCCTAAAGTCTCCCTCTTGATTGACCCTGTTCTGGCCTTCCTTGTCTTCCATTCCTGATCTCCCATGCTGCTCTGCCCATGCACTTCATTTCTGACCTGAAACATCCCATTTTAGTCCAGTCCTGTCAATGAATGTATTTTCATCTGCAATTATCCTTGGATTTTTACATGTGGAAACCACAAATTGTACTAAAAAACATAGGTGTTCTGACAGAACAAATGTACAAGACCGCCAGACTGGTTTTAGTAGTAGTTCAAACTAGCTTGAAAGCCAAAACCAGATGTACACATTCTCTTCATCTTTTAGTGCACACTGCCTCTGCCTTCCTGTTTTTCTCTTTGATTTTTTCATAACCTCTTCTCCTTGTTCCCAACACTACCCTTTTTTTCCTTCCCCCTTCTCCTTTCTCCCCTATTTATTTTGGGTCTGCACATCCTAAACTCAAAACTCCGGTCATCTGAAGAAGTGGGCTGTGCCCACGAAAGCTCATGATACTATCAACATGTTTTGCTAGTCTATAAAGTTCTACCAGACCAGTTTTTGTTTCTTAAGTTTCTCCCCTAACAGTCATCACAGTTTAGCTGAATCTCAGCTAACCCGTACAAACTCTTGAACATGTACATTCCTTCCCATAGGCCAAGCCCCAGCTGTGATGAGGTACATGAATCACACTGCTTTCAGAGTCTCAAGTTTAGTTGAAAAAAATCATTTTGCAGAATTGAGGGTAAAGATCTAAACACAGATTCGACTTTTACTAAATTGAACTTTAACTGATATGAATTTGAAGTTACAGGCCATCTAAATATGAACAACATCAAAGTTGCTATTTTTACAAAGCTATTTTTCTCCATCACAGGAAATACCAAAACCTTAGTTTCCTAAATGGTCCTCTGTTACATTTTTAATCCTTCATCAATATCAATAAAACAGGATCTTACCTTGATCTTCTGAAGAGACAGGTGGCCTGGAAGAAAACAACAAAGATCAGTCCATCTTTTGTGTGATGAAAAGGCTGCAGACAGGGTTCAGTGCCACCCTAGAAAATGGTGCTGGCGTGTTGGATATGAGGGAGCTGAGATATTCCAATGCCAACTTCTCTCAGTAAGAACATAAGAGGGGTGACAAGAAGGGAGTTCAGAAGGCAATTTCAGGAGCAAACCTTCCCAGCCAGAGTGATTTTATGATTAGTACCACCATGCTGAGCTGGTTGTGAGGCTGCACATAGCTACTTCAGCCCTTAGCAAGAGTTTCTGTAGTGTGTGGGGAAGTGCACACCCACTTCAGTCTCAGGATCTTAAACCAGGTGTCAGTGTTGGAAATATCCAAATAATAATGTCCATGGTCAGAAAGTAGTTTCCCAGTCCCACCAGGAGTCACTGTAAGGAATGGTGAAGGAGTGCTGGCTGCTTAGAGAGCTGTCCAGGCAGGGTTGCTAGAGGGATAAATGAAGAAATAATTGCTGCAGAAGACCTCATTGAATGTACAGCCCCAGATTTCCCTAGCAGGGGATGATGTCAAAGCACTATCAGTAAGTCACAGAAGATAGTATTTTAACAAGAGCAATGTGGATACATTAATTAAGAATTCTTGAAATATATCTGCTTAAACTTTGGCTACACTTAACTATGATATAACACAACTCCATAACAGCAACATAGGGTTCTGGGGAATGAGTGTATACACAACCACAGACTGAAAGGCAAAATATTCTAACAGTGTTGAGGTATGAAGTATGGTCAGCTAGTCATGTCCTCAGCTGGTGTACATTAGGAGAGCTTTCCTTATATTAGCAGAGCTATCCCAGTGTATTTGAGCTGAAGATCTTACCCTCCATCACCTATGATCAAAAATAAAAACATAGCATACAAATTAATTAATGCAAAATACTGTACTTCATTTCTCTCCCAATATATATAGGATGGAGTAGCAAGGCTGGGGTTAGCCCTGTGCAGAGGTGCAGCGAGGGTGTTATGCATCTGGGGGCAAAGGCAAAATTTGCGCCCCCCCCCATGATTTGTTACTAGCTGTGGGACTTTACACATTCCAATCTGTGCTGGGAGGGGAACAGGGTTTGGCTTGGATCCTCCATGTTGCCCCCATCTGGCCAAAGCATCGAATTTGCCGCACAGGAAGCGGGAGCTCGCAGCCTGCAAGGCGAGCGGGACCTGGCAGTTTTGGGTGACAATGAATCGCACCCACGTGGGCAGCCGAAGCTGGAAAATTGCTTGAGCTCTGCGCGGGAGCAGCGTGCTGTGTGCATCTGATGTGTCTGCGCTAAGCCTGGCAACACAACGGTGGCTCATGGGAAGTTTGGGACCTGGGGCTTCCAGAGGAGGCTGATGAGGCTGGGCTGCAAAGGGACTGGGGTTAAAACTGCTGTGCGTGTCCCGGGTGGTATTGCATTGTGAGCCACCGCTGCAGCGTAGCCAGAATGGGAGCCGGTCTTTGTAGAACGCCAAGCAATGTCCTTGGCTTTGCTCAAGTTCTTAAGCAGAGGGATGGGACATGTAGGGTGGCTCTGGGTTCCAGTGTCAGGAAGAGGATTCAGGACAGAGGGTTGGTGTTTGGAGGGCTGCACTCAGGGGCGGGGTGAGAGTGCAGAAGTCAGGAATGATGGTGGGAGATGAAGGGCTCACAGCAGGAGTAGATGGTGGGAGGTGAAGGACACTGGAAGGCAGAGGTAGCTTCCCGGGTCTGGCCAGCGGTGAGTATGAGACAGCTCTTGCAGTGGATCCTCATGGGGGCAAGGGACTCCAGGAGCCGGCCCTGGTTTCCATCTACTCCCCTCCAGTGAGTGGAGAGGCCTAGCTCTAGGGGTCAGCCCTCGCCTGCAACTACCCTTGCAGCCTTTGGGGATTTTGTAGTTCCAGGGTCTGTCCGGCCTGCAGCTGCATCCCAGCCTCCAGCCAGACCACAAGAGGGTGGAAGTCAGAGTCAGCCCTGAATGCCAGCTGCCACCCCTCCATCCCCCAAATTCAGGGTCGCAATGGTGGGGTTGCTCCGATCTTGCACAGAGGTTGTCAGCGTAAAAAGAAGCCAGGTCTTACTATCTCTCCCACGCTGTGTTGCAGGGACTATTCACAGGCAGCTAAATTGGCACCCCTCTAGCATGGCGCCCGGGGGCAATTGCCTCTGTCCCGTTCCCCCTCCCTCCCTCCCTATTCCCTTCGTTACACCTCTGGCCCTGTGCACATATTTTGGACATGTTTTGGCTATTTGGACTCAATTTGACAGCATATTATGGGTCAGACCAGCACCTGAATCATTCCTACAAGATGACTTTAAAGTAAATGCACATTCTTGCTGCCAAGGTAACACAAGAGCTAGCTGCTACCATGAAAAGAGTTCTGTTTCTTTTCCAACAGAGTTTAATTTGACAATAATGCACATACATGACAGATTAGCAAGATTAAATGAATGTCAGCATTCCTGACATGGTGATCAAAGCTGGAGTCAAAAAAACAACTTATGATAGAGGGTGGGAGAATAGAAAAACATAACAAAAGTAGCACAGAGAATGTGTGTGAGAGAGAGTAACAGATGGGGATAGAGGGGATAGAGCTTTGAATTCAGAGGAATAAAGAAATCGAGGGAGAAGTCATGATCTCTTTCTATAACTGGGATCTGAGGATGAAGGATTTGTGATGATAGAGCCAGATATATGTATATGTAGGTGAGAATGTGAAAGATGGAAAGGAAAGAAGGAAACTCCCCTAATGAAACATGTTTGTTTGTTTTTTTACTTTTTGAAAAGAGAAGAAAGGGTTACACTCAATTAGAGAAAATAAAGGAGAAAATCAGATTGCCTAATGAAGATGCTCATATCCAGTGCATTTGTATGGATCAGAATTATTCAACCTACTGCTACTGTTAAACTCTCTGACTGCAGCTGAAACATCTTAGCCACGTCCCCTATTGTGAAACAGGCCAGGTATACACTGCCATTCCAATAATGGCCACGTAACAGATAAGACTGTAGGTAACCCAGAGGACAGCATCAAAAAGATTGAACATTTGAACTGCCCCACAGGACCATATTGTAAAAATTTCACACTGTAAAAATTCTGCAAAAATAGAAAGCTAGGTGATGTAGGAAGGAAGATACCAGGAGGTGCAATGCTGCTGTTCTTTTAAAATGTTACAACCAAGCAAATATTTAACCAGAATTCTCATCTGTTTTATCTTGACACTTCACCTGCTGCTATGATGTGGTTTCATCTAGTCTGAGGTATTTATTCCTTCTTGTTTATTTCTTAGTCAAACAATTTTGTCATTTTCTAGATCCTTATGCAGAGAAAGAGTACAGAATAGGATAGACTATCCTATCATTCTGTTAGATTATTCTTGGGAAGACATATGCTATTATCTTTAAAACACCCACAAGGAAAAAAATAAAGCAAGAGAGAAAGCACATACACACATAGCCAGTAGGAGACCACTGTAGCAAGCACAAGACTAGACTTTATCGTTTTTATAAACTAGTGGTTTTGTGTGTGCAACTCTGAAAAGTGTTTGGAGATCTATGGATGAAAACCAATATATGAGATACAGATATAAGGAATATTAGGAGGGAGAACAGCCAAATAAAGACAATGGATTTCAAAAAAGCAGACTTTAGCAAACTCATGAGGGTGAGTTTACACTACGGGACAAAGTCACATTAAGATACGCAATTTCAGCTATGTTAATTGTGTAGCTGAAGTTGAAGTAGCTTAACTTGACTTTTGGCACTGTCTACAGTGCAGGAAGTCGAAAGAAGCACAATCCTTGTGAAATCAGGGTTACTGACATTAACCAGAGAACCACCCTCACTTTGAATTAGCTGTCTTAACTATATCGCTAATTTGAACCCTGGAAGATCGACAGCAGCAGCTTCGATCTTCCTCTGTAGTGTAGACATACCCTCAGGGAGTTGGTAGATAAGATCCTAGAGAAGCAAGACTAAGGGAAAAAACAGTTGAAGACTGCTGACAGTTTTTCAGAGAGACAATATTAGGGGCACAGGACCAAACTACCCTATTACATGGGAAAGACATGAAATATGGCAAGAGTCCACCTGTCTTAACCAGGAGAGCCTCAAGTATCTAAAAGTCAAAAAAGAGTCCTACAAAAAGTGGAAACTGCATCAAATAACAAGTACATAGGGACAAAATTAGAAAGTCCATGGCACAAAATGAGGTCAAAGTAGCTAGACATAAAGGTACAGCTACACAGCAGGACAAAACTCGAAATAAGCTATGCAACTTGAGCTATGCTAATTGCGTAGCTTACGTTGAAATAACTTATTTCGAATTTGAGTACATCTACACAGCACTTATTTAGAAATAGAGCACTCTTCCTCCAACCTCTCTTACTCCTCATACAATGAGGTGTACAGAAATCGGAGTAAGAAGCTTGTTATTTTGAATTTTGCTTGCTGTGTAGACGTGCACTATTCAGAATAAATGATGTTCTGAAATAACGCTATTGTGCAGATACACCCAAATAGTAACAAGAAAACATTACACAAATACAATAGAAGCAATGGGAAGCCAGTTCTTATGAATGCAGGTTTAACACCGACAGACCCTTGTCATCTGTATGCAGAATCAAACCTAGGCCTTCTGGTGTTTAGTGCCTGAGCCTCTCCTGCTTGCGCTAACAGCCATCTGGCTCACAGCTAAGGATGTAAAGCAGACTCATTATTTTCTCTGTTACTGGTCTTAGTGCCACTAGCTGGGACAGTTCACTACACCCAGGTGTATGGATTACACAGGAATTACAGAACTCTGACCCGGAGATCTTGCTATTTCCACTCCTCCCTATTTCCCCTCTGCAATAGGGGCTTGGTCCTACATTTCTGTCACTTGCTGGCTATCCAAAAGGTGAAAAAAGCTAGTGAATTCTGGGAAATTCATATAATTTGGTCCTTGATTTCCACCTGGAGAGGGATGTTACTGCAGCTTTTCCGAGGGATACATATTG